GAACACCTGTCAGTGGTGCCCACTACGAACCTGGGGGCGAATTATTCTTCCAGAGCCGAGATTCAGTCACGAAAAAGGGTGGAATCAATTTTTTTGATGGATTTTCGACTTGAAAGAGTTGCACTCGATATTTTGGTCGAAAAATCAGTCGGCAGAGATTTCTCGGCCGGAACAAAGTTGAACAAAAAAACTCATCACCACCAACATACGATTCATGGGTGGGCCTAGGTCTGTCTGGGGGTCGTATTCAAACATTCGACATCTCTCAAACTCCTTTTATATTTACAACGAAGCATTTCTCAGTCGATCCTATACCTGCGACCCACTTCCATACTCGTCCGATCACCTACCTACACACGCCCTAATGAGGAAAGTCATGATGGAAACGGGACGTGTACAAAGGAGGAAGAAGAGGGAAGATACACCGAGGGGATTACACAAATCCCCAATGACGAAAACAACCCAACGGTACGATATGAAGGTGCAAGGCTAGAGCAACGATGAGATCTTGGACGGCATTTATATTTCGGAGTCAATGAGGATGTCAAGGGCTCGGGCGCGTGGTGGCCGAGGCTGAGGAGGAAATTGCGCTACGGCGTGTATACAGCGGGTTTCTGGACGGCCAGGCTTGGTATGATTCAACACATAGGTAAATTCTGAGGTGGTCCGGTCATTAGAGTGGGACGAGGTTTATCTGTACTTGTTCGGATTAGGTCCTGGTCAACGATGTCTAGCCTAATTGTGCTATGTTGCAGGCTACTGTTACATTTATTCATGGGGTCATCATCAGGGTTGTGAATAGTTTCGGTTTGGTGTGGGTTGGTAGATTGATACCTGAGCGTGTCGCATAGTAGTTAGACATGCGACTCGAGTAGCATATGCACGGTAAACCTCAGCCCCAAACTGATGATACGAATCAGGTTTTACATGCTACGTCCTGTATGGCTAGCGTGGTTGGAATATGGAGAATTTACCTGTAGATAGATAGAGACGTTGTAGCCCTCTGATAGTTGGGACAAGTCTTCTACAATATTATATCGGAATCAATACTAGCCTCTCATTAAGCAATCTCATGAATTATTTCAAATGTCTGTGATAACAGACATACATATACAATATCGACGATCAAGTTTAAAATCGATAAGTCCTTCACGGTAGTTAACCTGATCTGGCCCGACCCCACTCGTGCCTAAGCTCCAGTAGGAGTGCAACGGTAGTCATGTAACCTAGCACGTTAATGAACAAAACAAAAAACTCCTAAGATCCCGGCATAAATCACCTGGGCCCTGGCCCTCCTGCTAGGTGCCCCAAACTAGAAATATACCAAAAGCACCCTTCCTCCGGGCCTTATGTTAATAATACAGCTGACAGAATGTAAATGTAAATATACATGCTGGATAGTAGAGTCAATCTACCACCGATATAGACAGAGCTACTAGTAAGTGATTGAGTCCCGCTAAATAGGTACTACGGAATATTGTATTATATTTATATTTATAATATTTAACGTCGTGCCCGCGCACAGCACAACACATTGTATTATAGCCAACCTGTAATATGGACCGTGGGAGTTAAATCACGTGGCGCGCGTAGATTTATAAGGCTCTGTACCTCAAAGTATGTGGGTACAGGTGTGATGCACAAGCACAACACCTACTTTATCATGATTTTCACTGTGCAATTTATGATAAGTCGTTAAACTCTTAGGAGCATGGGAGATTTCATGCATAAAAGGAAGAACCATAATGTTAATAGAAATACAAGATTACATCCAGTCTCAAGCTCTACATACAGATCACCGTAGTCGGATCCACGAGACATCCGTGAATTTCACAACCAGTTGGTTAAAACTCTCAGGTTCTTGGGCTCGAATCTGAAGGTATAGGTAATCTGTATACTTGTTTGTGTCCTATCTTTCTAGGAGAAGGTTTATGGGTGACGGCTATTGCCAAGGCATATAATGAGTATACAAGGACCTCCACAAACCTTTACTCGCTATTGCCTGGTTTACAATTCTCATTTGTCATCCACCCCACTGTAATCACATGTCTGTATCTAATTCCTAATGCATTACCATTGTTGTGTTGATAGCTATGACACAACCAATATTTAGATTTTCATTCTTCCAAGCGTACACCATAATCTTCACTATGATACCGAGGTTCACGGAGCAGTCAAAACGAGGAACCGCGATCAGAGATGTAGCGCAGCGTCCTTACTGACAATTCTGCGGCAGTCCGAGCATTGCCGACGAGATTGATAGTCTCGCCGCTTTGGAAGGTCCATGAATTCTGGAGAAAAGCCGCAAGAGCAGCTGCACTCGTAAGGTTAGAGTGGATTCCAGGCCACTCAAGGCTGTTGGAACACGAAAAATCGGATTGGTTCGCTCGCAGTGAGTTAGATTCGCTGGATATCGCCCGAGATACATGAATCGATAGCCAAGGGGTATGGCACGGAAACGAGGGACTGAAATCGAGACTCGAGCGCATGTCATCCAATAAAGAACGCTTAGAGGGAGATGGTTTGCGGATTTCTTTTGTTTTTTACCCAGGGCTGCTGGACTCATCGTGATTCGACACCCAGATGCGTTTCGATATGGCTCCGTTCATTTAGTTCAGACGACACAGTTGTACTTTTACGATACTTAAACTGATCTGAGCCGTCCCCGATCGTGCTTAAACTCTAGTAGGAGTAAGATTGGATTCATTATATCTATTTAGTAAATAAACAAACCAAAAAAAACAGGCAACATCCCTGAAAGAATACTCAAACCACTCAGAAGTGTCCAAAGGAAATTCCTAAAGATTATTACGGGGGCATACCAGTCGACCAGTAGTAGAATGCTAGAGCATGAAACGTCAACTCTCCCGATAGAGATCTACCTCAAACAAAGGCGGCTTCAATATACCGGGCTATCCAATAACCTACCTATCCAACAGACAATTTCAACTGCACGCAGAAAAATCAAATATTTTGATGAAGAAAATTTTAGTAAACGCGATCAAAATAGGAGAGATGATATAGTGGAATGGACCTTAATTTGCAACAATATCGAGTCTAAAACATGACAGAAAGTGGGCGGTAAGAACTCCGCGTTCAAGGAATGGTCAGAATCGTGGACGAGCCAGAAGAAGGAGCGACACTTGGGTCCCCGAGCGCAAGCCAACCCGGATAAGTGGAATGCTGCAAACTTATACAACGACAAGAAAACAGGTAGACTTATGATGAACTATAGAGAGTCAGCTATCCAAATCCACCAAAACCTTAGCAGGGCCCAGAGTAGCATTGCCACACAAGTAAGAAGCGAGCACATTGGGCTCAATGCTTACTTATACAAAAGTAACGTGCCAGGAGTAGGAAAACCATGCTGCCAATGTGGATATCCGTCCCAAAATATAAAGCATATGGTGATGTCTTGTCCAAGATGGGAATTGCACAGTGGATTCAAAGGGAAGGAAGGATGGCTAGAGCAGTTTCGGATGACCGGGGAAATCGAGGCGTTAATCAGGCGAAGAGAGGAAAATTGATACACAGGACAAGGACGGAATCCACACTGGCAACAACAGTGTGAGTGCACTTCCTAGAGGTAAGACTATAATCGTGCAGAGTCAAGTCAGACAGCTAAGGGGGTTTTTACAGCAAGGTTTCCTCCTATGTAAATATTAGAGTTCGTAGACACCTGCATGGGCTCATAGGGCGCCAAATCGGGCTATATGAAATCAAATTCAGAACAAACCAAAAACTAAACAGCTGTCTGCAAGCCTGAAATCCAATCTATATGTAGCAAATTTCTCCCTGCTTGGAACTTTTTAGCCATCTTATAAGTTTGAAATTATCCTCACAGGTGGCACAATGTGAATCAAATTTCCAAAAGATCATACTAGAAAAGACAAACTAATGAGTCCTTATATCCAATATTAATTTCACAAGTAGTTTATCTTTTCAAAGATAAAAGATATGTTGGTTTGTTGGGCTTCTTCGTAGAACTTAATAAGCTCCATCTACCTTCTAAATTGAGGGCGCTTTTCGGTATGCCGAATATTCATTTGATATCGAAGCGGAGATGCCGTGACCCACTATGAGAGCGTGCCAGGTTTCTTGCTAAATTACAGTATTAGAAGAGATCTGGACTCTTCACCACGGGAGCAATTCATTACATCGTCTTCGTGTAAGAACCATCCATGGCGTTAAGCAAGACCTCCCTGTCCGGAGCGAGCTGAAATTGGCGCCCCAAATGTGCGTCGGTCTAAACTGTTCAACTCCGGGATTGTTCCTAGGCTCGTAACAATACTCAGTTGCTTGTATCTAGAAGGAGCTTCCTGTGCAAAAAAAGTGGTGGTGAAAGCCTCATAGTTTCTCACTAATATCGCGCCGTAGCCACGATATCGAGAGTAAATCACGTGATTTTCTCATTCGACCAATTTATCCAAATAAACATTTTCGTCATGAGTTTATTGAGCACTTCAAAATAAGCTTTTCTTTAGAAGCATACTTCCCTCAACCTCTATTACTCAGGTAAAAAATTTGTGGCAAAGTGAGGAAGCCAATTTAAGTATAATCCACGAATATATGGTTTGTCCTACTTTACCTAGGCAATGTAATATCGTACATTACCAACAATTCTGTGCTGATGATTAATACTAAAGAGCTCTTTATACGGCTGTTTAAACATTGATTATACTTAACATGAAGCCGTGATATGTTGATTAAATCTTTTCAGCAGGCATGGCAAAAATCTGTGTAGCGAGTGCCAGCAATTTGAATCAATACTGAAGTATTTGTAAACATCAAACAGATGTGTATGAACTTTATCGAAATTTAGAGCTTCATCATGTTGCCAAATGGTTTTTAGCTACCAACAGAGACCTTAGTACATCTTGTTAGGCCCTACCAATGGTATCGTGCTCAGTTTGTCATGCAAAACGAATATTCTTCATAAAGCGTTAAAATAGAAAAGGGTATCAAGATATACATGATCAGCTCATTTTTGTGACGGAATTTCAGTCTGGTGTGTTTTCACTTAACTCGCCACAAGCCAAGGACTTAGAAATGCCTACTGCAATTCTTGAATTTGCAAGAGGTGATGTAGCATGGTGTTGATTATAGTTCTTTAGCATAAGTTGAGTAACCTGTGCGATGTGATTGTTCTTTTGATAATCAATGTCGCCAGGAGTTAGATTGGAAGATACGGGTAAACTTGAGGTTATTACTGTCTCTGTCGATGATTCCTGGATAGTACAATTTACAGCTGCTACATGTGGGTTGATCTTAGCCAAATTAGTATTTGGTGGTTCGTTTTCGGTTGACAAGTCTGTTTCTTCTAGTATATTTTTACCTCTGTTCTTCCTACCACCCCCTCTCCACCACCCGCCCATGCCCAGGCCTTTGAAGCCTTCGAGCCTTGGCGGTAAGTTTTTTTCCCTAATTAAACTCTCTTTAACTTGAAGGCCCGAATCATAGGATAAAATCTTCCATGAAAAATCTTCATTATCGGCCTCTTTTTCCCGTAATTGCCTTCCCAAAATGGTGCGCCTACTTCGCCCGCTTCTACCCTCCTCGCCATCTACCCCATTCACAAAACGAACACTTTGGATCATAAAGCTCAGACCATCATGCTTGCTTTTCCATCCATCTCTCTCGATACCCCACTCACGACTCTTGATTCCAAATCGTGTTGAGCTAGCGTATCGTTCCAACAATGGGAGCACCAAAACTGTGACATGGCAGTCGCAGCCACTAGGCGCGTGTCCTGGTCCTTTTTCACTGGGCTTCTCAAGGAGTTGGCCTTCTTCTATAATATCTGGAGGCATTGGATCTCCGTTTGAGTCATTCTTTAACTCTAGTCCTAACAGAGACACATCTATGTCTTCAGCCCATGCACCCCGAAACCAGCCAGCGTGTATACATGCTGCTAAAACGTCGGAGTCATCGGTGTAAATGTCAGTGCCCCAGAGAGCTTTACGATGGGTTACCTCCTCACGCACGGAATCCTCAAGATATATGCGTGGAACTCTGACAGTGTAAGTACAATTTTCTCGGCCAACAAATCGAGGGAGAGGGTTTGGAGTAGAGGAGAATCCACGGGGATTATGAAAGTCATTGCTATTAGAGTGTTGGTTCGATGAGGTTCTGAGGGTACAGCAGTAATATCCATGACCCAGATGATGGCGAGGTAGAGTAGTGACAGAATCTAGAACGGAATCATTCAATACTGATAGCTTTGGGACTGTTGTAACGGTTGGGATAGTTGGTGTCTCAATAGAAGCTAGGCCTTTATTCGTGGTAGAATGATGATGATGATGATGACGGTTTGAAACATGATGATGATGTGTATTTATGTTCTTAGCGTCATTGTCATGAATAGCTTGCATAGTGACCTTGGCACTTCTAAAGGGTGTCAAGTTAAGTTGATTTCGACATGAATTATTTTCCGTATTTTCGATACGCCGGTGGTGGCTAATTAATGTTAAATATAATACAGTGAATGAATTTGTGGAAGTATCTTACTGATGGTGATGATGGTGACCATTTTTCGGCTTCTTTGGCTTTCCGTTCTGGGCGATTCTCTCTGTGTTACTTTCTTCGTCGCCCTTGTCTTCTTGTAGTTTTCGTCTTTTAGATGTCTGCGGTGGTAGTGAGTGAGGCTTACAAGTAATTTGAAGCTCTTGAAGGTTTTCGGTATCTTCACGTCGCATATTTGAATTATTGCTGTAGTTTGAGCCAGCATTTGAACTTGGCATTTGTAGCACACTTCCAACCCCGCTGCCAATACCTGAAAACATCCTTCCGAATTCATTCTTGATACTCGGCTCTCCTCCAGGACCATCAGTCTGGGTTTGTACACCCTGTACAGCCTGGGGTGATGGAGAGGCTCGTCCCTTCCTGTTTGCATCCTGCAGACCGAGAATACTGCGCTGTTGCAGGGGTTGAGAATCTTCTATATACCTCTTACTAGAAGATTCATGTAATTGTGAGCTACTATTTTGAGGTAATAAGTTATAGACGGACTGTCGCTGTTGCCGATTTGGCTGTTGTTGTTGTACTATTCCCGAAAGCTCCTGAATTACTGTCTCACAAACACTATTATTTCCAAATGGAAGAGAATTAAGAGGATTGTAGTTCTGCTCCTTTCCTGCACAAGTTATTTTTCCTAGGTATTGCGTTAATGCCGTTGTCTGGTACGCGAATGAATTTGGTGGCCTCGGTGGGAGTAGCGTTTCTTTCTCTGGAATAGGTTCATATACAGGGCGCGGAGGCTCATATGTACCATTTTGCAACCGTGTAGAGCTTTCTATGGACTCTGAAGGTCTGCTAAACACAGTGCCTTGCTGCACTGCCTGACGTGTAAATTCTCGTGAAAATTCATGCTCAACATGGTCTTTCTGTTCTCGCTTCTCCCTCTCATGCTGCAGGATAATTCCCTTACCGCGATTCCGATCTCGTTCCCTTTCTAAATTTCGATCGCAATGAAATGAAGATTCTACAAGTGGCACCTGTATCAAATCTCTTTCACTACATTCTCTTTCTGTGTAAGCATAGGGTCTATGTTGGTCTCTTTCCTCGGCCGTAGTTCCAGCGTACTTTTGGACATCTACAGGCCATGGAGTGGCTTCTGCTTTACTTATATCGACTCTGGGAACTATCGTCTGATCTACATCACATGGCTTTGAAATTCTATAGTTACTAGGCTGGCTGTTTGGCCTGGGAGGTAAATTTGAATGAGTCATTTTGCCTGAATCCATCCTTTCTTCAACGCCCCTTGGTCTTTGGGGGTACAGCTGCTGCCCTAGTTGCGGTGTACTGAATCTTTGCGCTTCTGGGGTTTTGTATCGTACAAGATCTGCTGTTGGTCCATTTAGGTTCGTTACTTTATCTCTTGGTTCGATTTTTTTAGAATGTTCTGGTGTTTGCGGCTGTCTAAATGGAGCTAGCTCTGTTCGACTAGAGCCTGTGCGAGGAGATGCGTGTGATGATCCAAATAGAGGGCCTGAAGTTGTTACCGGAGAGCTATACTGCGATGGCATTTCACTTGTGGATGGTTCACCTAGAATGTCAGCAATAGCCATACCTCCAGCTCTTGTCCCGCACATTGGAATCAAAGATGGCAGTTCGCGAGCGCCTGAGAAATTTTGAGGTTGGACTACGGTCGCTGTAGTAGTTCGATGTGGATTTTGAGCATAGTTCTGATGCAAGTCAGGTGGTACACGCTGCTGAGGTGATGACGGGGGCAGAATGTTTCGATGATTTGAAGCTCCATGAACAATTGAGGAGCCCATCTGGTGTCTTACATGATTGGAAGATGCATCTTGACAATAAGGTCTTTGCTGCTTGTAATAGGAGTCTGACGACCTCTGCACATGGTCTGTATAGGTTGGTGCTGTTTGTGGAGGTTGGTTGGGCAGAGGATAGGCTGCTCGGTTTGAAGAGGGTGAAAAAGAAGCCTGGCTAAAGGGCGAGTTTGTATTTCGTGAGAATGGAAGCTGATGTTGTCCAAGATCTCGACTTTGAACCATGACGCCAAACGTGTGAGATTTAGGTTCCTAGAAATATTAGATAAGAAAATGGATGTAGAAGCTTTTCCGGCCTTTTGTTTCTAAGAAACGTACCGTCGTGATTTGCCAATCGAGTAGTATAAGGTAACAATCTGGCTTTAGGCTAAGAATTAGAAAAATTAAAGATGGCTGGGTATTCAATTAGAATCGTCCATAGTGTATGTGCTTATGGCCGAATTCAGCGCTGAAGGATAGTTTGTGCGACCGATGGAAATGTGACGATAGCATTGTTGTACCTAGGTGACCGCCTCCGATCACAAGCTCGGTAAGCAGCCTGTGAACCGTGCTTAGAATAGACTAATGGGGTAGAATATTGTACAAGGGCTGAACTAGAGTGGAACTAGGACATATAAGGCTAGACTAGGGTAGTGTTGATTTCTTGACATGAAAATAATAACGGTTCGGGTCGCGAATTTTCCCGCCAAGAGTTACCATTTGATACCCATCACCCACAAAGACGTGCCCATTTCCGACCAATCTATTTATAGGTTAAAAGTTCATATTAATGAAGGAACTACTCTCCGGCGGCTTGTTCTGGACGTTGGTCGGTCCCTTGAGACAATCATGGATACGTTTGGGAAAAAGAATCGATGAGGCCTGTGAGGGTACTTCTCCGAGAATTCTCGTAGCATTTTGGCTATTTGGTATTTATTCTCCGATATTTTTTATCTAGCTGATATCGCCAATTCTTGTGATATATTTACTAACCTGGCTCTAGGTCTGGTGAATAATGTTTCTTGCACGATAATAATCTCGGCAGCCCTCGACCTCGTTGGTCCCTCGATTCCGAAGAGCATCGTTCTTTTCGCTAGCATTCTTCCAGCCTTCTTCGTCAAACTCCTTGCTCCTTATTTTATTTTTCGGGTCCCTTACTCTCTTCGCATATTTCTCATGTGGCTGGCCTCGACTCTCGGCATGTTATCGATTGCTCTCACCCCACCTGTGGGCGAGAGGGACGGGGCGCTCATAGCGAAACTAGCCGGGGTCGTTCTAGCCTCGCTTTCTAACGGACTTGGAGAAATGAGCCTTCTGGCACTAACACATTATTATGGGTCTTTTTCACTTGCCGCATGGAGCAGTGGGACTGGTGCTGCCGGGCTCATTGGAGCTGGCTTATACGTCATGCTAACCAGTACCTTTGGAATTACTGCGAAGAGATCGTTGCTCGTGAGTGCAACACTACCGTTTTTGATGCCACTTGCCTACTTTCTAGTCTTGCCTCGAGATCTAAAGATTTTTGGTTACACCGCACTACCACAAAACCCTATTGAACAAGAAGACCTCCGTAGGTGGGAAGACGGGCACCAAGTCAATGATCTAACATCTGCTGCGGATTTCAATATCAACTCAAGCTCCACGAACCTACGCAAAAGCATCAAGATAAACCTACGTCGCCTAAAGTCGCTATTCATTCCCTACATGATCCCTTTGTTTTTAGTGTACATGTCCGAATACTTAATAAATCAAGGGCTCACACCCATATTACTTTTTCCACTTGATAAAGCGCCCTTCAAGACGTTTCGCTCCTTCTATCCTACTTATGCTTTCATTTACCAATTAGGTGCGTTTATCTCACGTTCCTCGTCGCCTTTTTTGACCATACATTCTCTGTATACACCTTCTTTATTACAGGTTCTGAATCTGTTGCTTCTCACCCTGCACGCCATGTATTTCTTTTTACCGAGTATCTATATTGTTTTCTGTGTAATTTTCTGGGAGGGCTTGCTTGGTGGCGTTGTATATATCAACACATTTTCTGCTATTACGAGAAATAAGCAGGGCGAAGACAGAGAATGGAGCTTGGGCGCTGCGAGCGTGAGTGATAGTGCCGGTATCGTAATTGCGAGCCTCTTGGGTATGGTTATGGAACCATGGCTTTGTCAATTGAACGTGCGCAATGGGAGACCCTGGTGTCAGGAAGCTATAGTTACTTAAGAGTCAGGGCACAATTCAGGCCAAGAAAATTGATACCGCAGTGTGATGTGTCAATTCCAATGATGTCACATCTGGATAATTGAGGGAACATTAATTTCATTAGATGCCTTCTCACTGGAGAATCATTGAGTCGACCTCTCGACGTACCTCTTTCTTCCTGACCCAAAGATTGATCAAACTTTGGTTGTTCATTTATATTACGCTACTTAATTGGTTTATAAATTTTTAATGGGAAAGATCCTTTGTTTATCCGTTATAAAGGATGATTGCGTATCTGATGCACCTGAAAACTCTCTTACCAAAGAAGCTTCTCATGACATGGATAAAATTGCTCGCTAGTGCCTGATGAGTAGCAGAGATAACAGCTATTATCATCTTTGTGGATTTTTCATCAGTTACGTATTCTGGGATATCATTGGACTTACTGTTAAAGTTATTAAGGCTCTGTAACTCTAATGTTTAGGGATATCCGCTGCCACGATCGGAATATGTAGGGTTTGGTTTGTTCATTAACGTGCTAAAGTGACTACCGTTATACTCCTACTGAAGCTTGAGCACGGGTGGGGCCGGGCTGGATCAAGTTAGCTACCATTAAGTACATCTACTACGTCCCACCTGAATGACCTGGCCACCTCAGACTTCACCCATGTATTGAATCATGTCAAGCCCAACTGTCCAGAGAACCCCCTTTTGGCGCGCCGAAGCGCAAATTCCTCCTCAGCCTCGGCCACCACGTGCCCGAGACCGTGACACCTTCACGATCTTTTTTTTTTTTTTTTTTTTTTTTTTTTGCATCAGATTTTAATTGCGTATGCAGCTATCTAGCTATGACACAATATCAAAGAAAAGTACAGAAAATATGACTCAATTTACATGAGGAGCACTCATGCCTCAGATTTCATTTGCAAGTACCACTGCGAAGTTATGGTGGCTTTTTCTTCACCCCAAGTCAACCCTCATCCGTGAATACCCACTCAGGGGAACGTCTCAAAAACCCTGAGTTATCCAGACATGCCTCCGTCATCCATCAAATTTTCTCCGCGCGATATGTGATCTGAGGTGTCTCCTTCCCAAGTGGAGTAGGTGCCCAGGCTACTCAAACCATACCAGAGAACACCACCAGGAGGCGGACCACAACACCTTCCATCGTTGGCTTGTGTTTATAGTGTCAGCTGCACTCTCGCAAGCGAAGTCTTGGCGCGCACAAAGCTCAATTCATAAAACTCTTTCCAAAATTCGAAATTTCACGCCCGTCGAGAATGTATCCCTCTTCTGCATCATCTTGTAAACTTGTCCTGATCCCTTTCACGTCCGTCCCAAAGAGCTATCTCCCAAAATTGTGCTCCACGCTTTGCTTCCTCCGTCGGGTGTAAATATCGGCGTGGGCGTGTATTTGGTGACCGGCTGAGGCCAGAGAAAGTCGACGAGAGGTATGGTCATTGGGATGAGGATGTACTAGGTCGTACTTGTAGACTTGATGAAGCTTAGTTGAGAATCGGACTCTTTGGGAGTGAAAGATTGACATGGTGGAATAATTTGAATTTTTGCCTCGTGGGCCAACTTCTTTGATATTGCGAAATTTGACTGAACTTGGCTCTGGGAGAATATTTCACTCCCAGGTTCGTAGAGGACACCGCGTACAGGTGTTCAGTCTTGCCCTCCACCTTCACGATCTGTGACTCCCTTCCATTCAGTCTTAGCTTTGGCTCATCTCAGCATCTCCTCATCTCATCCAGGGGTCGTTTTCTTCATTGGACCGAATATGTAGGGATAGTTTTATTAGTAAATTATTTGATAATTTAAGATTAGTCGGGGCTATCAATAAGGCCATATCATTGATACACACCTGACTACAACTTCTGCCCTTAATTTCAAATCCGTAGTCGCTCAAATGACAGTGCTCTACAACATCAATGACTGAGGGGTCATTATTTCCTCAATGTAACTCACTATTTTTTCAACGGAATATCAAATTAAGTTAAAAAGTAAGTTGTGTTCAGATAATTTGTTCTGCGTGGTTGATAACTGATAGAGGTTGTTAAAGGACTATCATTGCAATTATTATCGAGATCAGAACTAAATCCCAAGACATCCCCTCCTTTGAATTGTGCATAAACACATAATGGTTCAAATTTCTTTTGCCCGGATCTTGAAATATTGTGCCACCTCGGCATGAGTCATGGCATATCTCGAAGATTATTGTAGTGGCGCCAAGCACAATCGCTCGGCGGTGAGATTGCCCTTCAAGCTCACATTGTAGGATATTTTATGTGCCAACTTCATTTGTAAGCTTGAATCTACTTCTCCTCAAGCTCTATCCGAGTAGCAGAATCGGTCTCAGTAAAAGCTTCCGCTGGCTATTATCTCCTAGCCAGGCCTTGAGTGACTGGCAACTGCATAAAGCTTACTGCCGAGATGCGCTGAATTTTGGACTTATTCGCCGTCATGAACTGCATAATCGCAGTCCTCCTACGACCAGCGCGAGATTCCATGATAACAGATCGCTTGCTCATCACAAGCAGCCTTGGTAACGGCTTTTATGGCATTTACAAACCTGCGCACAGATTTATTGCTTGTCATAGCTAGATAGCTGAATACAATATGGTTCAAAAAAAAAGAAAAAAACCTCCGTACAGCCGGCAAAGACGAATTCTTCACCTTCCGGTGGTGCCGGTGTAATCGCTCAGTTTGCTCTGCATATCTGGGATAGCCAAGAAGAATCGCATCCGAATCGAAGTCGAAAACAACCTCGTGCATATCAAAAAGCGACGATTTCTTGACAAATGTTTGACCTGTTATTCTTACACGAGTCCTCCACCTCAATCTTACCACACTACCTCGCCTCAAATACCGATAATGGCGTTACTCCAATTGCAATCGGGCATTTGCCACATCAAAAACTGGCTATGTCCCACTAAAAAATTACGGTGCTATGTATACCCGCGAGGAGGAATTCAAGTCATAATCTACAAAGCTCGGGTCTTGGTCTATGGGGGGCCGCTGCTCTAATGGGGCTTCACATTTTGAGGGAGGACAGGCAGCTGGGACCTGAGACGAACGAGTGAAGAGGTCACAATTGTGCATATTGGGACGCACATTTGTCAAGTGTTTTCGACTTAAGAGTGTCTATGGGCGTAGAAGCAATGATTTCGGATAGTGCTACTTACATTTTAAAAGCAGGCAGCGATGGAAGGTGTTTTGGTCCGCCTCCTGGTCGTCATCTCCCCGAATTAAAGTTTGGGTAGCCTGGACACCTACCTCACTCGAGAAAGGGAGGACTGTGAGGCCATATCTCGCGCGGCGGCTATATACAAGATGACAAAGGCGTGCTAGGGTAGCCAAAGGTTTTTCATGTTTTCCCTTTTGTGGATATTAACGGTTGAGGGAAGGGTGAAAGTCGCTAGCACCAAGTTCTCGAGTGGTATCAGCGAGTGCACCTACTACATGAGTAGTCTAAATTTTAAACTGAGTTATCTTCGTATATATTTGTCGGAGAAGCTAGTCTTCTCCGTGTCAAGCTCTTAGAGTGCAGGGCTTGTGCCCGTCACGAATAATCTTTCTTTCATTCTTTCCAAATAATTTCCCTTCATATCTGTTAGTAGTATCTATGTCAAATTTCTGTGATGCCAATTCTTTTAATCTTCGACTCCCTTAATCCGGCCAATCTCCTTCACTGAGCCACACAATGTTGCAATGTGATTATTCCTGGGTTATTCCCGTGTTAATTTTATGCCCTTGGTTGTATTGAGAAGGAATCCCATTGTTGGTCTTTCCACTCCCAGGTCCTCCAATAATCTCTTTCTTTCAGTTTTTTACTTGGCACACTCCAGTATTAAGTGTCTAGGTATTTGCTTGGCTATTCTAGTGCAAACACAGAGACCTGTGCAACGTCTCTTTATCTTGTACAAATTATAAAAGGTTATGAGGTTGCAGTAATGTATGGATTGCATTCAATTATAGAATTTATGGATGAGGCCCGATATGATGATCGATAGATTGTTAGAAAAATAGATACAAAAAAACATATATATATATATATATAACTACAAACAATCGGGGAGACAGGCCTCTATACTTTAATAATACTTGGTTGCCCAGTAACAGTCAGACCTATGATAAATAGGCAATATAATGGTAAACAACAAAGTAACCATGGTTACACAGGCTTTGAGTCTCTCACGTGACTATATCGACATCACGCCATGTCCATAACACACCCCTTATGGTTGATGTCAATATCGAGGTGGTTTCCGAATTAACGAAATACAGTTATCCCTTAAAGCCCTAGCTGCTTGACAAAGTTTCAATGGTTACTTCTCCCAAGAGGCTTAGTCATTCCATCTGCTGTCATTTGCTTGGTATTGCAGTAATTGAAGATTACTTCATGATTGTCCACCTGCTCTCGAATATACCACCACTTGACAGCGATATGCTTGCTTCGTTGATGGAGCTCGGGGTTTGACGTCAGGGCAATTGAACCTTGATTGTCCGCGTATATTTTTACACTCTTACCGTCGGTTTCTCTGTATCTCAAATCCCTCAGCAATCGTCGAATCCATGCGGCCTGTCTAGCAGCCATACAGAGTCCATATATTTCAGATTCTGTGGTAGAAAGTGGGACTGTAGTTTGGAGTTTTGAAGACGATGATATTATTCCACCGCTGAGGAAGAACAGCCAACCTAAGTGTGATTTAAATCCTGATTTGTCAAAATTGGCAAAGTTGGCATCCGAGTTTCCATGGAGCTTGTGGAGGTGTTGTGCTGGTGATGGCTAGGATTACGATGCACAAGGGTAATGATCACTGAGGGTGAAGGAAGAACTTTCCAGATGGCTCCATAATGAGTAGAGGAACAATGGAGCACTGTATAGAAAGTGTTTCTAGATTGTACTGCCAGATGGAGGAGACTAGAATATTCCGTGGTACTGTTTTGGGTAAATAAGGCGAGAGTCTAGCTACCTCAGATGTGTATATAATTAGCGCTTTCTACCTCCTAAATCC